GTGTGGTCGGACCATCAGAGCTGGCCCAAGTTAAGAGATTTTAATAGTTTTTTTTTTTAATCTTTTCTGTCAGTATATTATGAACTGAGTCCGCGAGGCTTTGCATGGCTTCGTGGAATAATAGAGTTGACCAGAATGCTTTAATCTGTATGTTTCTGTTGATTTAATTGACATTCTTATTTGATGGGCCAGTGACTGTGAATAACTTTTACTTAGAAAACCTTTGGGATACATATAAGGATATCTGAGCTCTTCAAGGAAAGAAAACCCCATACAAGGGCTTGTCTTAGTGACCTCATTGTAGGAGCCAAGGGGGACGTGCCGTGGATCAAAGTTTACAGACAGATCATTCGCTTTTAGCTGTGAGCTTTATCATGGCTGCTCACTTGAATTGCTTGGGAAACACCAAAAACCATCCCTAAGTCCCGACTCCACTTGGGACCAGTGAAGTCAGAGCCCCAGGGGTGTGGCAGGCCACCAGAGGGTTTTGGTCTCCCAGGTGACTCTGATGTCAGGGTCGCCAAGCAACGTTCATAGACGGGATTGTCACACTGGCGTGCACACACTCACCGGAGAGCTTGGGGCCCCGCAGCCCCGCCCCAGGCTCCAATGCAGCAGGTCTGGGTGGGGGCACGAGAATCCACATTTCTGCACGTCCCCAGGTGAGGCCGGTGCCCCCGGCTCTGCCCTGAGAACCACTGTGGCATGAGGTTCTTTCTTAAAGTTTGCTGTGGGGTGTGTCCGCAGGCCCCAGAGAGAGAGGGAGGGAAAGCACCCTGCAGGGGTCCCCTCCTAGGGTTTTGGGCACACACACATATGCGCCTGGTGTGTTTTTCTAGCTACCAGGCCAAGGACTTGAACCGCACAGTCAGCCATGTAGGATCCAGCTGCCCTAGCCACCAGCCACTGACTGGCCTGAGGCTCTGTTTCTGTTGACACAGTGTACGCATTCGTGGGGTGCAGCGTGATTTTCAGTGTGAACTACAAGGTATGATATTCAAATCGGGGGCATTAGCTGATCTGTCATCACAGACATTCATTGTTTCTTGTGTTGGGGACGTCCAGAGTCGTCCCTTCCAGCTGACCTGAGATGCAGGACCCTTACAGCAGTCACCCCACTGTGCCGTTCACGCTGGGACTGGCTGCTCTCACCCAGCTGTGATTTCGCGCCCGTTAACCGCCATCTCTACCCCCTGGCCCCTCCTCTTTCCAGCCTGTAGTAATCCCTCTGCTGTCTACTTCTTCGAGGTCATCTTTAGTTTCCACTCGTGTGAGGACCTGTTATTTTTCTGTGTGGCTTATGTCACTCACATACTGTCAGCCAGGCTCGACCATGTTGCCTCAAGTGACAGACCTGTGTTCTTTTTGACGGTTGTATGGTATTCTGCTGGACTTTCATGTACTGCATTTTTTTGAAGGGGGAGAGAGGTTTTTGCTATAGGGCGTGTGCTCGGCAGACAGAGAGATAGAAAGTGAGAAATCACCCCCCAGGGGGGATGGCCATGCCACAATCCCTTCTCCATTTTCCTCTCAGGATCTTGGGCACACACGCACACGCACCTGGCATGAGTTTTAAGCCACCAGGTTCGGGATTCGATCTGCAGTCGACTACATGGGAATCCAGCGACATAGCCATTACGCTAACTGCTGGTCCCATGATACTTTTTCTAAGAGAGATTTTTGCTGTAGGGTACGTGCATTCACCGGAGAGATAAAGAGAAACAGAAAGTGAGAAGTCGCCCTCCCGTGGCCCTCCAGGCCGGCACCTCGGGGCCCTTGCGTGCATGCCCGGTGTGTTTCAGGCCGACAGGGCAAGGGATTCAAACTGGCATTGCCCTGTGGAGTCTGGCTTCTCGAGCAGCACGTTACCACTGCGCCACAGAGCCTACTGGGTGTTTAAAAATTAGAACAGTGTTTACTTACTGGAAATAGGCTGAAAGGGAAGAAGAGTACTAGCACAGGGCCAGGCAGTCCCAGGTTGGGCCTGTGCTTGGTCTCGAGAAGAGGCAGAACATGGTGGTTGAACCTGGCTCCTAACCAGGCACGGTCTGGTCAGGAAACCAGTCCCAGGGTGAGCAAAGTGGCGCGCCGTCCCCGTGGGAAAAAGCAGGTGGTCGGCTCGGGAGAAAAGTTGATTTAGAAAAGAGGTGGCATACAGAGGGGAAGTCCTCCATGTGAACCCCGGTTCTTGGGCTTCCTGCCTTGGACAGCGCTAGGGTTCTTTCTGGGCTCTGTCTGTAAGAGGACAGTGCTGTCTTCCTGGGTTCCATGGGCAGTGTCACCGACATGCTCAGTACAACCCTACCACCCAGACACCCAGTGAGCGGGACTGCTGCCCCCCTGCTGGCTCGGGGACAGTCTGGAGGGATGAGACTGCAGTGTGGAGGTGGCCTCAGGCCCAGTCTCTGCAGCCTGAGATGGGCAGAGAGCAGCTTGCAGGGTCCTGCCTGACCAGGGGACCCAGGAGCAGGATGAGTGGTGGGGACAGAGGTGAAGCGGGTGTCAGCGTACAGACTGTTTTGGGCCAATGAGAGGAGCAGTCTGGGTGGACAGCTCGTCAGGGACAAGAAATGACTGAGTTTTTTCTTTTTTCTTTTTCAGTTTGTTATAGGGCACATGTACTTGCCAGGGAGAGACAGGGACAGAGAGAGAGAGAGCAAGAGAGAAAATGAGAAATCTCCCTTGGGGAGTGGCCACAGGACAATTCTTCTTCTCTGTTTTCCTGTTTTCCTGTTGGGATTTTGGGCATGCACACACATATGCCTGGCGTGTTTTTCAAGCCAGCTGTCCAGGATTGGAACTGCTTGGTTGGCCGTGTGAGATCCAGCCACCTTAACCACCCTCCACTTGCTGGCCCCAGCAGATGCCTTTTCATTGTTTTTTGTTTTTTGGTTTTTTTTTTTAGAGGTTTTTGCTATAGGGCATAGGGCTCGCCAGAAAGACAGAGAGAGACAGAGAGATAGAACAGCGAGAAATCACCCCCAGGGGGAAATGGCCATGCCGCAATCCCTTCTCCTCCATCCCAGCGTGAGTTTAAGCCACCAGGTCCGGGACTCAAACCGCAGTCGGTTACATGGGAGTCCAGCGACATAGCCATTACGCCAACTGCTGGTCCCAGATGCCTTTTAGTTGTTAACGTGGGCACTCGTTTCCTCAACCTTTTTAGGATGTTTGTCTAGTACAGACTATTATTTACACGTTTATTTACATATATTTGCATATATTTACATGCACAGTGCTCGTATGCACTAGAGCAGGGTAAAAACCCTACTTCAACATTTTGTGTGCCTTCTGAAGAGTTGTGGTTCTGGGGCGCCAGGCGGCGTGGTGGTTAAAGGCACTGGACTCACAATGGCCAACCGTGGTTCCGGTCCTGGGTCTGATGGCTTCCTTTCTCACTTTCCCCCTCTCTATCTCTGTCTCTGTCTGGTCAAAATGGAAAATAATGAGAATAGCAACAATAAATAAAGTTTAAATAATTCTTCAAGAAGAAAGAGTTACCATTCTAACTTTTACTCCTTTCCTCTCTTCTAGGCTTTCTCCCCTTTATAACGTAGGCTTCTCTCTCTCTCTGTCTCGCTTTGGCCCATGACACCCAGTACCCCATACCTGTCCCTGGCTGCTAGGCCTGAAGGAGTTGGCTAAAAGGAGTCCAGTCTAGGGTGAGGGTATTGGGCCTACCAAACCAGCCGTGGTTTTAGCAACTGTAATTCCCATGCTGTCCACTACGTGGTGCTCATGTACCGTAAATAAATTCCAAACTCATTGGGAGGGGAGCCCCAAACACCCTGTTTGGGAGCCAAAACCCAGATAGTGGAACTCGTTCTTTGGTACAGGGTCCACCTGCATCTCTGTGCTGTGACCTCCAGTGCCACTCACAATGTGACCTGATTTATTTTAACTTTTGAGAAAATTTGCTGGAGAAGAAACATGTCTTAACTGATCGGGAGCCCAGGATAGGGAGGTGAGAACGGGTGTGACTGATCCTTTGATGCTGGTCTTTTTCTTTCGAAAGAGGAATCCCAGCAGGATAGACTGACCCCCAGCTAACGCACTGCTAGGTGCGTGCCAGCAGCCGGAGGAACTCAGCCAGTGCCCAGCCTGTGCAGGGCTGGCATGGGAGGCCATGACTCGGGCACTGACCACAGAGAACGGGTCTTTGAAGCCGTCGGCTGACAGCCTCTAACTCTGGGCTAGACCATTTTCTCCAAAGTCGTGTTGTAACCGGATAGTGGACGCATCGCTATTGCTTAGAGTCAGACTGTTCTTTTCTCTCCTGGAAGTGTGCTCGCCAGCATGGCATCTTCCGGGGTTCTCTCCTGGGTGGTTTTGGGTGCACGTTTGTGGAACTTGTTGAATGAGGAACGTGTTAGTGTCTCGTTACGATCGTTAAGTTCTCAGCCTGCTAACAAACTTTGCCACTTTTGTCTTACTTCTCCACCTGGGCTTGTAAAGACAAGAATATAAATCATATTTAGAAAACGAAAGGCCCTTAAACTTTTGGGCACCACCCAGAAAGGAGCTGTAAAGTTATTGTAAACTGCGGTTGTGTCCTGAGGACGCGACCATCATGATCCTGTAACCTACAGACCAATAAGAACAAATGGGGAGAAAGCGAGACTTGGAGTAGCCTGGGTAGTCAGGGACGGAGGACGAGCTTCAATCGGTACCTTCTGATCACAGTAACCGAGGAGCAGAGGCACACCCCTTTCCTAAGTTCTAAACTCAGGTCGGGGAGTACTACAGGTCCTCCTAAGAGGCGGCACCAACACAGACACGTGGATGCCCAGAGGCTGTCCTGACCTGGACGTTGACACCCAGGAAGACTGGGTGTGACGAGACCCTGTCGAGAGTGCCCCCCCTCACACACACACACACATGTAGTCTCTGTCACTAAAAAAACCGAGAAGGTGAAACGTGAGACGCTCCAGCCAGAGGCGAAGCGCGCTAAGGCCGGCCGGCGGCGCTTCTTGCTTACGGAGCCTTCTCTTCCTTGGCAGGTGTTCATCTCTGTGAACTGCTTGAGCACGGACTTCTCTTCCCAGAAGGGCGTGAAGGGGTTGCCCCTGAACATCCAAATAGACACCTATAGCTACAACAACCGCAGCAACAAGCCGGTGCACAGGGCCTACTGCCAGATCAAAGTCTTCTGTGACAAGGTAAGACGGGCGGGGCTCGGACACTCCTTTGCCGTGTACTCCTCCTCCCCGGGGAAGACCAAGAGCCCTTTAATGTTTGACTTCAGAATCAATGCATTGCCACTGATACAAAATAAGCCATTTTATTTTTTAAGAGAGATTTTTGCTATAGGGCGCGTATGCTCGCCGGAGAGACAACAGAAGGACAGAGAGAGGCAGAAAGGGTGAGATCACGCCCGATGGCCACACCACAATCCCTTCTCCTCCGCTCTCTCAGGATTTTGGGCACGCACACGCACACGTACGCCTGATGTGAGTTTTAAGCCGCTGGGTTCAGGACTTGGACCATGTTGACTACATGGGAATCCAGCAACATAACCATTATGCTATCTGCTGGTCCAAAGTGAGCCATTTTAAATGACCAATTGCTGTTTTAGCCTTGCAAAGACATTATATACAGGGAAGACAGAAATGTGCTTTATTAATTTTTAAGAGTTTTTTTGCTGTAGGCACATATGCTTACCAGAGAGACAGAGAGGGAAAGTGCGAAGTCACTTCCTGGGAGGATGGCCACACTGCAGTCCCTTCTCCATTCTCCTCAGGGATTTGTGCACACATTCACATGCACCTGGTACAAGTGTAAAGCCACCAGGTCTGGGGTTCGAACCACGGGTGGCCGTGGGGGCCCAGCACCTTAACCACGACACTACCTGCTGGTCCCCACATGTCTTACTTAACTAAACCTTTACTAGAAAGGTTGATGAGCACGTCTCGTTGGGCACGTCTAGTGAAGTGAGGGTGGTACGCAGCATGTCCTGGCCCGGCTCCCTGGGCTCTGTGGGGAGTTCATGCCCGCCAGGGCTCTTAGCCCTCCGTGTGGATGAGTCCTGCAGGGCCACCCTCGCACTGGCTCACCCCCTCCAGCCCTTCAGGAAGCCTTTAGCCAACTCAGGAAAGTAGGAGATGAGGTCTGGTTCTCCTCTACAGCAAGAGGGAGGCGAGAAGAGAAAGCCTAGTGTCCACAGTGGTTCCAGCATGATCTCTCGTCCATTATGGCTGCCTTTTATCCCTGGAGCAGGGCTGATCGATTTGTGGGGGAGGGGTATAGTCAGGGGCTCTGCTGGGTTATACCTGCAGAGGTTTCGTGGGCCTCCGTGTCTTTTTTTCGGGGGGCACACATGCACACACACCCAGCATGAGTTTTAAACCCCTGGGTCCGAGGCTTGAACTGCAGTTGGCCATGTGGGAATCCAGCAATGTAACCACTATGCCATCTGCTGGCCTCCAGGCCACTGTATCTTGAGCACAGGAGACAGTGGTCCCTTGAGAACCAGGAGGTAGCCATGGATGAGTGAATGGTCCATTGAACTAAGATCAGATAAGACTTCGACTTTTCCTATTCAGGAATATTGGACTGCATGGGGTTTTTTTGGGGAGAAGTTTTTGCTATAGGGCGTGTGCACTCACCAAAAAGACAGAGACGGACAGAGAGAAAGTGAGAAATCACCTCCCAGGGGGGGATGGTCACGCCGCAATCCCTTCTCCTCCATTCTCCTCTCGGGATCTTGGGCACGCACACACACGTGCCCGGCGTGAGTTTTAAGCCACCGGGTCCGGGATGCGAACCGCAGTCGACTACGGGGGAGTCCAGCGACATAGCCATTACGCTAACTGATGGTTCCCATCAATTCCGTATTTTTTCAGAGAAAATAAAAGTATAACTTGGATCTCTAACCAATGGGAGTCTGGCAGCTCCTTTTTTTTTTTTTTTTTTTTTTTCTCTCTCTCTCTCTCTTTCTTTTCTATGTTTTTGCCATAGGACATGTGCACTCGCTGGAGAGAGACAGAAAGAAAGAATGAAAGTGAGAAATGATCCCCCAGTGGGATCATCATCCTCCCCATGGGGAGGGCCATGCGGTAATTCCTTCTTCCCTGTTCTCTCCAGATTTGGGGCATGCACGCACACACGCATGGTGTCGTTTTCAGGCAGTCGCGTCTGGGACTTGAACCATGTCGGGGTCAACCATGTAGGAGCCAGCGCTTTAACTACCATGCCACCTGCTGGCCTCACCAGCCCCTCTTTCTGTGAGTTGGTACAAGGGTACTTTAAAAAGTTCACAGAAAAATGAGGTTAAAGTGTGAGTTTATTTTGGTTCAGTTTTTTTTCAAAACCATATGTAGATACCTCACAGTAATTTCCTGTACCTTTTGGAGACCCCTTGCATATATTCCTCACCCATTCTAATAGAGAAAAAATTCATTCGCACTGATTTCCCGTAGACGCCTTCTTCTTCGTCAGACTAACATTCATCGTGGCTTACTGGGTGCAGGTGTTGTGGATTGTCTTTTTGGGGCAGTATCTGATGTGACTCCCCAAGATCAGTCTCTTTCATCGTTGACAGAGTTAAACATTTAATTTAAATCATTCATAATGTCATAGGACTTCCTTTAGCATTAATTTGCAGTGTGCTTTGAGATGATGACTAAAGTCTGCCTGTGTAGTACGTCTGAAAAGTATACTATTCTATTTACAAATACAGCAACACAAATTATTTCTAACTCTATACCATTATCTAACCACATAAATCCAGGGAGCAAGGTTTCATTTAAAAACGAGCAGCTAAAACGAAGTTCCTCTCCACGGTGGATGTAGCCTTCTATTTCGGAAGGTCTTTTTGCTGGGTATCAAATTCCAGGTCGACTGTTTTTTCCTTTTGTTTTCTGAAAATGTTGTACCACTGTCTCCCAGTTGACATAGTCTCTGAGAAGTCTGCTGTCTTCCTTGCCTTTGTGCCTCTGCACATGTCTTTTAAAACAACATTTTTTTTTTTTAAGGTTTTTGCCATAGGCTGCATGCTCTTACTAGGGGGAGGGGACAGAAAACGTGAGGAATCACCCCTTAAGGGGATGGCCACTCCTCAATCCCTTCTCTTCCATTCTCCTTTTGGGACTTTGGGCATTCGCATAAAGGTGCCAGGAGTGATTTTTAAGACACTCGATCCAGGACTCGAACTGTGGTCTGCCATGTAGGAGTCTAGCGCCTTAACTGCTATACCATCTGCTGGCCCTGGTGGGACAGTTCTTATTGTTTCTCTTGGCTTCCAGAGAACCTATTTAACAGGAAAATAAGCCAACAGTTCATCTAAACAAATAACCTTCTCAAGCAAACTGACAGATGTTACGTTTTTACTATACTTCATTGCTTAACTTCAGGTCATAGTTCTTTGTTTTTTTAGTTTTTGCGGATTCATTTGCAAGGCAGTATCGATCTTGGTGTAACTTGTAGGCACGGTGCACACGTGTCCCTTTTGCAGGACTCGGTATAGTTTCTCTTCTAAGCCACTGTCCCAGTTTCTAGTCGCGTCTTTGCTCCCGTGAGTTCTAGTTGGTCGTATCTGTCACCTAGCTGATGCCGCGTCCTTGCATGGAATCGCAGCTCTCATGGTGACACGGCCGGTCTAGGGAAGTAGCGCCGAAGTCAGGTCAGCTTTACTCCTCCTTGCCTTTCGTTCTCCTGCTGCACAAAGGAAACGGCACTCACATCTTTACAGGCAGTGCGGTGCTTAGCGGATTCTCCCAGCTTTACGTACCTGGCTACATCCACCGTGGAGGGGAACTTCGCTTTAGCTGTTCGTTTTTTAATTAAACATTGTTCCCTGGATTTATGTGGTTAGATATTGGTATAGAATTAGAAATAATTTGAGGATCTGCAGGTGGCATAATGGTTACCTTACTGGAATCCCACGTAGTCTACTGCGGTTCGAGTTCCCGACCAGGTGGCTTTAAACTCACACCAGGTGTGTATGTGTATGCGTGCGTGTCTCTCTCCGTGTGTGTGCGCACGAGCATGCACACCCAAAATCCTGAGAGGAGAAGGGATTGTGGCATGGCCATCCTCCCTGTGGGGTGATTTCTCGCTTTCTGTCTCTCTAGCGAGCGTTCATGCCCTATAGCAAAAATCTCTCTCTACCATTAAAGAGAAATACTTAAGTTTTTTGTTTGTTTGTTTGTTTGTTTGGTTTTTATTTTTGAGAGATTTTCACTGTAGGGCACGTGCGCTCGCCAGACAGACAGAGACATAGAGACAGAAAGCGAGAAATCTCCTCCATTCTCCTCTCGGGATCTTGGGCACGCACGCACATGCGCCCGGCGTGAGTTTTAAGCCACCGG